TTTTAAGAAATTTTGGTTTTTTTGAAAAATATTTTTAGGAAGTTTTGGTACAAAAGATTTGCAGATTAAGTGCGTCATATTATATTTTATATTTATTTATGATTATTAATTTGATTATTTATTAATAATATTATATCTTATAAATAAATTCAATTTTTATCTATTTTTGTTATTATTATTTTCGAAATGTATAAACGAAAATTTAAAAATGATTTTAATTTTGAAAGTAAAAATTTTAAATTTGAAAGTAATAAAAAAAGAAAAGTGAATAAATTTAAAAATATTGCTATAAAAACAAAACACGAGAATATATTATCAGATGAACAAAAGAAAATTATTGATATTGTTATTAATGAAGAGAAATCTTTATTTTTTACTGGATCAGGTGGATGTGAAAAAACGTTTATGTTAAATATTCTTATTGATAAATTATACAAGAAATATAGTAAAGACAAAATTGCGATTATATCTTTAACTGGGATATCTTCATTGAATATAAAGAATTGTATAACATTACATAGTTTTGCATGAATTGGGATCATGACTGATTCATTTGAAAAGATTATTGCCAATATAAAGGAAAAGAATTTTATATATCAAAGATGGTTGAAAACACAAGTATTAATAATTGATGAGATATTGATGATAGGTAATAAAACTTTTGATTTCATTAACAGAGTTGCACATGAGATATGAAGAAATAATAAGCCATTTCGAGGAATTCAACTTGTTTTATCAGGTGATTTTTTACAATTATGACCTGTGAAAGAAAAATATGCAATTGAAAGTAATGTTTGGAATGAATTTGTGATAGAAAAGGTTTTTTTAACAAAAGTATTTAGACAGACTGATGAGTATTTTGTTAAAGGTCTTGATCAGATAAGATATAGAAAGATAGATTCTGAATTTCTTAAATTTATAAAGGGATTAGATAGAAATGTTAATTACGAAGATGGTAATGAACCAACAAGACTTTTTTCAACCAATTTAGAGGTCTTTAGATGTAATATGATTAAAATGATACTAGATATATATAGTAAAATATTAACAGATAAGGTATTTAAAGAAGGATCAATATCTGGAAAAATATTAGATGAAAAGATAAAAAAGATAATAAAAGAAGGAGTACTTGGATTATTAGAATATAAATCTAAAGATTGGACTGTTGCTATTAATGAAAAAAAGAATAGAGAATATAAAGGAAAAAAAAAATTTAAACATAAAGATTTAATTGAATGGTTTGAAAAAAGCACGTTAGTTGAAGAAACTTTATATTTAAAAATAGGAGCAGAAGTTTTGTATATTTGGAATAATCCTGATAAAGAATTAGCAAATGAATCTAGAGGAAAGATTGTTGGATTTAGAGATTTGAGAAATAATAAAATATACAGAGAAGAGATACCCATTAGAGTTTGGTCAGAAATATTAAGGCCAATAGTTAAATTTAATAGTATTGAAGAAGAGATAGAAATTGGGAAGGAGACATTTCAGAAAAAAAATCTTGAAGGTGTTATGATGGTGACACATACTCAAATACCATTAATATTAGCATTTGCGATAACTATACATAAATCTTAAGGTTTGACTATTCCAAGATTGGAGATTGATTGTGGAAAAATATTCCAAAGTAAACAACTTTACGTAGCATTATCAAGATCAGTAAGTATAGAAAATTTATGTGTGAAAAATTTTAAGGTTGAAAAATTAAATTCAAATAAGAAAGTAATTAATTTCATGAAAAAGATGTTTGGAGATATATTTTTTGTATAAATATGTTTGTTATAATAATTTAATTTAATTTAATCAAATCAAAATGAATAAAATCTTATTTTATATTTTCGTATTTTTATTAATATTTAAAGAGATATATGTTATAAATATACCTGATAATAATAAGAATTTTACAGTGAGAATAACGCAAAGATTATTTGATATCTTGATGAAGCAACAAGATATACATGTTTTTTCTTTACATAATGATTATATAGATATGAATTATGGTACGATTATTTTCAGTAAATGAATTAATCAGAGAAATATACAAAAAAAAATAGTATTTAGAGGTATTAAAAGTAAAGTTGTTAAAGGATTTTATATTAGATCATTTGTTTCAATGTTAAATACACGTGATATCAATTTAATAGATAAGATAATCATCATATATGAAGATAAAGCAATTATTAAGAATGAAGCTCGAATAAATAGAAAATTAGTTTTTATTCTTGTTTCAAATATTTTATTTTATTTAAATTCATCAAAGAGGAATTTTATTAAATATAGTTAAATATAATATTAATAAAATAAAAAAAAAGAAATAATTATTATTATTTTGTTTTTTTTTATTATATCTAAATTATTTAGAAAGATTTTTTTTGAATCGAAATATTTTTTAAAAAATATATTATTTCAAATATTTTTTGTAAGATATAAATAGAAATACATAGAAAAAATATTAATTTATCATGTAATTCTAATTTAAAAGGAAACATATATCCGAATAGATAAACATGAATTTTGATTTTGAATATAATCATATTGACGGAATTATTAATTATTAAGATAATTTTGTTATTTTTTATTAGGGATACATTTAATATTGTTGATAACAATATAATTTTATTTATATTGTTAATCGATTATTAATATTTGTATTCTCTATAAATACATTTAATTTGTAATTGTCTTCATTATTAAAATATGGATTTGATATGTGATAATTGTAACAAAAAATATGACACTATCAAATTATTATGTAATGAATGTAAAACAAAAGAAAAGGAATTAATATGCAGTCTTTTTTATTGTAAAAAAAAATTTAATAATGATCATGAATATAAAAAACACATAAAGTTAAAACATTATACTTGTGAAGAACATAAACACACAACAATATCTGTATCAAATTATAACAAACATATTGAGACACATGTAAATCATAAAAAATTTTCATGTAAAATCTGTGGAAAAAAATATTCGTCCAAATATTATATGCCATGTAATATTTTTTTTATATATTTAAAATTTTAATTATATGACATTATTAATTATTTTATTTGAATTTTATAGATCATGTATGTTTGAAAAAAATAAATTAAAATTTAAATTATTAAATTAATATTATTAATTATGATAAATTATTAATTATTTATGAGAAAAAAATATTTATAAAATAAAAAGAAAAATGATTTTTTTTCTATATTAAAAATGCCTGAATATAAATATGAAACTTTTAAATGAAAATTTAAAGATAAATTTCAGGAGATATTTAATATAGAATGTATTTGTAATAATTTAAAATATTCTCATGGAGTATTTTTTTGTAATGTAACAAATAGTTCTGAAACTTTTTTAATATACAGAATTTATTAATATGATGGACCTGTTCCATATCATAAAGTTGATAAAGTTATTAGATTAATTTCTATTCTTAATCCACTGAAAACATTTATTTTTTCTAATCAAGAAATCAAAGATGAATATAAATATGATTATGTAAAAATATGCAAAGAAGAAAATATTTTTGATGTATTTAAAGAAGCAATTGGGTGAAAACCTATTGTTCAAGAAGATAATAATAACAATATGGTAAAAGATTCAAATTTAGATGTTAAAAAACTCTTGAGAAAGAATATAATGAACAACTCACTTCTTCTGAAACTAAAACTAATAAAAAGGGAAGAGGAAAAAGAAAGCGATCAGAAATTAATAATCTTTTAAATAATGCTATTAATTTTAAAATAGGATTTGAGAAGTAGTAAAAAAATGAAATTTAATATTGGTAAAGGTAATAAATTAGTAGAGCATAGTATATTAATGAAAGTAGGAAAGTTTGAATATAGAGATATGGTATATCATAATGTAGAAAAAATTGATATTTATAAATACGAGTAATTTATTTTATTTTTATTTTATTTTTTATTTTATAAATATTATGAGATATTAGTTTAATGAATTTTAATTCTGATATAATAATTGAAGAAATATTTGATAAGGATATTATTCGTATTTT